AGATGAAGTTGTGAGGACTTTTTCTTGACTTTTATCTTTTTTTCCTTGTTTCTAGTGGTGGTGACAGCACTTGCTATTGGACCAAACAATTAATAGCAGAACCCAAATACGGCTGATTCAGTAAGGTGCATGAAATCAGAAAGCACGCAATAAGATGAAATGGCATTAACATCATGATTGGTGAATGTTGCAAGACCCACCTTTTATCAACAAGATCAGTTTTGTTCCCAACAAGAACAATTATCACATCATTTCCTCGTTCAGTGCGTACTTCCTCAATCCACTTTGATGTATTCAAAAATGACTGTCGATCTAAGAAGGTGATAAATAAGCAAGTCAAATGATGCTGCATGCTTTTCCAAATGCATAAAGTTTCAGAAGGTGAGGAAAATCACACTGATAACAAAAGCAACCACCATGCAGTTTGAATTTTAATAACACTTGTGTCAAAAGCTGAAGAGAATAGTATCATTATCAAGTTGTCTTAAGAGAACCCTATCTTAACGATGCTTACTGGCAACATCATAGACAACCACAGCTACGGAAGAATCTCTAATGTAGCTTGGAATAAGGCTTCTAAATCTCTCTTGACCAGCTGTATCCCTGCAACATTAGAAAACAAACTATCAAGAAGCAAATATAGCAGTATTATAGTCTGATTTTCGCTTCATCTAGTATGAAATGACAGAATAAGTAGTAGTCCATGACCAAGATCTTTAAGAAATGATTCAGAGCAAGTACATAAGACTTATTTTGTTACATCAACTTCTCTAATGTTCTTCCACAGAGAGCTCAATTTACACTGGTTTGATCCAAACTAATTCGAAAATGAAAGAAGCATCATATACCAGAGCTGCAAGCGAACCGTTCTATCTTCAAGGTACATTGTTTTTGATAGAAAATCAATCCCGATGGTGGCCTGCAATTACAACTGTAAAACTAAGTTAAAAGTATAAAGTTGATCAAAGAGTCCTCCTGAAAAATTCCTTCAAGTGGTCAGACCAGACAAAAGAACCACAACATAACTACTTCACAACAAGAAAAGCAATTAAATTTGCCACAGACTAAAAGCAGAGGCAAAAAAAAAAACAGATAGTGGTCAGGGGATAAGGTCTGCTTATTGCTCTCTATGGCATTGTCCACAACTATTGCATAGTAGTTACGAGCTTAAGAAACCCTCAGAATTAGTCATCAAGCGGTGATATGAATGATCTTCTTGAATGATGCTATCAATCTACGATTCCCAAAGAAAATTGTCCAATGTTGTCTATGCCAATATCAGGTGATTCTTGAAAAAATCTGTCTTAAATGTCTAAATGCATTCTTCACCCAATTCAAAGATGTAGAAAGTAATAACAATTCCGAATCACAAGTTTGTTGATTTTGCTAAAGTGGTTGCACTAGATACCATCCCCCTTGAGCAACCAGAGTATGAATGTAATTATACATCTCTAATTTTCAACAGTTTTCTTCTACGTATTTTTCCTTTCTTCCAGCCCTCGAGGAGGGAAATTTTTTTTTTTTTTTTAATTCTTACCCCATTTTCCCTCCCTAGTAGAGCCAGCTATTCTCTGATCAAATTGAAGCCTTTTATTGATGGCAAAAAAATTATGTAAAGAAAGTAAGAATTCATCAAATTACATATTAAAGATTTAGATCTATGTCAACAATGATTAATCCTAAAGAGCAATCTGAAAAGTGATCAGAATTTCCATTTTACATCATGCAAATTTACAAATTGAAAGATGATAAATATGTCTTCATAGTGCATTCAGTAATGCTTTTAAATTCCAACTGATCAAACACATCCAATAAAAAAAAAAAACCAGATTTCTTATTGATCATGGAAGACTCCTAAACGACTTACATTCTTCAAAGATTGCTTAGCCATAAATAAACACAAATACCCAAAAAAAAAACAGCAAGTCTATTAAAACACATATTTCCTGACCAAGAAATACATCAAAACCATGATCATACAGAAAAACAAAGAAAGTAGCAAACGTTATAGCAAAAAGGGGCAAAAAATATGAAGTGGGATGATGGAATTTAGGCTGAACCTGATAAGTCGTATCAAATTTATCATACATGAAACGCGTGATGATGCTGGTTTTTCCAACGGATTGATCCCCTAAAAACACCAATTTATACTTTGCTAGAGGTGAAACCACCGCCATCTTTTTTAACAATATCCAAATCTCTCTTTTTCTCTTTCAATTGATCAGATGAATTATGTATTCAGATCTGATTATGTCCTCCTTTGTTTTTCCCTCCTGGTTTTCTTGGGTGTCACATGAGGAGAAACAGCAGAGAGGAAAGAAAGAGAAAGAGAGAAAATCAAGGAAGTGAATGAGAGAGATAAGCGACCCAACCTGATGCTGCCTTTGAATTGTCAATGCTTATAAGGGAGCCAGGGAAGTGTGTGACTGTGTGTGCTGCGTGCAATCGTGCATGGCATTAGTCTCATTATTTTCATTCACAAGAAACCGCCAACCATCGGCCTGAAATGGGAAGTAAAAAATATGGTGCTTAGGAGTTTATGAATGAATATATGGTTCTCTCTCATTTTTTTTTCTTTCTTTTTTCTCTTTGGTGAAATAGATGGAAAAATTTGGACATGGAAATGGGATATTTTCACTCTTTCTATTTTTCATTTTAGATTACTTGGATTTAATTGTTCAAATTTAGCTCTTCATGTGTCTCTCCCACGATTTTTGTATCACCAACGATTATATATACACTAAGCATTAGATACTTACATCCAACAAGCGTATATATGCACCTTAACGAGTCAAAAGAGAATAAATGAATGATTGTATTAATCTTAACTTAGAGGTTAAGATTGACACTTTCTTATTAAGAATTTTTTCGCATCTTTTTTGCAGTGTGTTGGATTTATTTGGACATGTAAGATAGAAAATCATCCATGTCATGTCATAAGATTGATAGCGCATTGCTTATAATTCTTTTGGATCATTCATGTCATGAGAGGAAAAGAAATGCATGAGAATTATGGTAGGCGTTGAGACGTATGCATGCTTTCTTTTTTCCATTCTAAAAATTATGGTTCATATAGAGTAATTTAATTTGATCTACATATTAGTTCGATCGTCAAATATGAGATGGAAAGGAGGGTAGTGAAATTTTATGAAGAAAAGACTCTGAGTTGAGGCTCTACTAATCTTTTATATCTTCTTGGACATCGAATAGACTTCAGGTCCAATCATAAACTTTTATAGGGATCAACATGAGAATGGAAAATGACCTACTCATTGAAGACTTTTCCACGCTATGGTAAGAAATAATTATTGTTTTTTTAAATAATTATTTGTTCTTTGTCTTCTTTTGGCAAAATTTGCTCTCTTTTTTCTTTGATTTTTTTTTTTAAAAAAAACCTCGTATAACATCACTTTCTATAATAGTACTTGTAGATCAAACTCTCCAATTGGGAAATTTTCACTATCCTCTCAAACGGAGATGATCCATTTTAAGTTACCAAATAAGCATGAACAACGAATTCTTCTTTCTGTATCAAGCATGTGATTAAGAGCTAATCCAAGCCATTAAGAGCTACCCTTATCATGTTTAAGCATATATGTTTATCGGGTTTTTCTAATGGATGTCTAATGGGTACTCGTTAGTATACTAGATCAACCCTAACTTATTATACGAATTCACATACTAATAATTATTATCCTATCTTGCATTTATATGCTTTTTCTAGTTAATATTATTTTTTAAAATATAAACACTTGAAATTCATCTTAACAAAGTGTCCGATGAACACCCATTAAACAGACCTTATGTTTTTATTCTGGGGTCGATTAATCTATCTCCCTCACCTCCTCATGCATCAAAAGCTAAAGAAATGGAGATCGTGTTAATTAGTAAAATCTACCAAATTAACTTTTCTTTCTTTTTTGAGGTTTAATTTACCTCTAGCCAACAATGGCAACCTTAGTCTTCTTGGAGAAGGTCAGGAAAATTAACTTGACTTGACTAGTAGTATTATATCAATTAATGTCCATTTAGATCCTTTTTTGGTTTTAACAAAAACCAATTTCCTGTAGACTTAGTGTAGACTACGGATCATTAGCAATTAATTTTTAAGCGCAAGAAACAGTTTCCGAGGAAGAAAAGAATAATGACTAAATTTACCAACATATAATTTTCCATCATGTGCTAAATGTGAACTCGTAGTTTGACTCTTTCCTATCTTTACGTTTCTAATTCACTTGGGATCCACGAGCAAAAGCAGGGGACGCTTTTCCTTGAGCGTTAAGGATGACGCTTTTGCTCCAACTTATGCAGACAGCGGGTTGCTGTGACTGTAAACTCATGTTTAATCTTTAATTAATTTATTGAGTCAAATATCTTCGTGGAACTCAAAAATCGAGGAAATTAATCACAAAACTTGGAAACCTATGGTTAAAGAATTCGAGTATAGTCTCTACAGAGGGTTTATAGACCCTAAACTTAATCAAATATTGAATGAAGCCTCAACAAATGACTTGGAAAGCTAGATGAATAAGAAATTATTTTACAAATAAGTATATACAAAACACTCGGCTACTAACACTACAACAAAAATGACATTTAACGGCATTTAAAAGTGTCAGTATAGATAATCTAACCCGACACTTTACCTTTCCTCACACTTTGGACAAGTGTCGTCCCTTCCAATGTGGGGATAGGTTCGTACTATTCAAATGTGTCAGGAAAATTATGCTGTTATAGTATCCCATTTGCCAACAAAAATTGCTTTTCTGATAATCAAAAGTATCAGGATAACCGTAATCAGTAACAAGTAGGAGTTTTTTAAACTAAACTATGCTGACACTTTTAACTGCCAAGATTTTTTTTTTTTTTTTTTTTTTTGATATAGAAGCAACCTACAGGTTGTACTCCTTGCAATACATTCCGTCAATCAAAAACCCAAAGGACTTGTAAAATTATCCCAAAAAACAGAATGCATATAGTAATCTAAAAGCAAAACTCAATAGTTAAATATAATTTATTGAATTAAAAGCTAGTAACAAGTACTAACATAGCAAATCCCTAACAAATACAAACTTGAAAGATTCTCTTGTGCACAAATTAAAAGATTCTCATCCCTAACAAGTAGAAAGAACTTGCAGTAGCTTCCAAATTTTCCAATGAAATGAGAGCCTTTCGGCATAACCACGAATACCCCATCAATCTTCAATTGGTTCCACCTATGTACAAAGTTTGTTGGGATCATTAGATCATCGTAGTTAGCAATAAAATTCTAGAAAAGCCACAATATAAGTAAGTGCATATATTACCAAATGACAAGGCCAAGCAATTGGTACACCAAGTGCATCTTGAATTGTTTGTTGCAAATCATACGGTCTAATCAATTGCTCACTTGGACTTATTGCAGTAATCAAGTACTTACAAGTTCTACTTGTCTGTCAGCTAGGAATGTGATAAAAAGTGTAGAATTTTCCAGCCCGGAATAAATAGAGGGAACCTAACATCCCATGCATCAGGGATAGATCCAGAAATTGTCTAGATTAGAAGGGACCTAAAAAAAATGATTGTCTAGATTAGAAGGGACCTAAAAAAAATGAAGGTTGATTTGACAAGTAGATACTGTACGAAGATTCAGCAGGGCCTCCTTCAAGGGTAAGATAAGGATTCTTGCCTCTTTATGCTATCTTTGGTACTGAGATACATCACATAAAACAAGGAGGTAAATAGAAATTTTCTACCCATCTTTTATTTCTCAGCTGGAATACTTCTAATACAGAAAAGGCAATTCTGAAATGTCCTTATACTATGACGTAACCTATGAACCATATCCAAGCAAAATATTTCTGCGATCAGGTGATTTTAAGGTTGCTTTCAGAGATAAATAATCTATAGCTCACAAAAAGAGTGAATAAGAGTGGCATTGCCATTTTTTTTCCCATGTTGTCAGCAATGAACTCTCAGCTATTCTTCTTTTATCTTCCTGCAGCTATCACAGAAGAGTTTAGTTAACGTTTAAAGAAGATAATAGATTCATTATGTTCAGAAAACCACGTGGATGGCTTTCTCTTTTCAATGTGAGACCTGAGAATTTGTGGAAGTCTTTCACGTCAGTCCAGAGTTCAAAAGTTTGTCCCCTTGCTTAAGTAGAAGGTCAAATTGTTGCTTTGGCAGTCTACTTTTGAAATCAGCTGATCGTCAGGATAAGAGCCTAACTGACAAGTGTTAAGGTCTTATTAAACTGGCTACTAATGTAGTCACATATGAAGCTATTACTCGTACTTTCCATTCCATCACTATAATGAGACTTTAGCATTTACGTCCCAAACTAAAGCTCCTTATTTTCCCAGATTGGATATAGGTTAGACTGATTAGACACTACTTGCAAGGAATTCATACTAATAAAACACTAGAAAAGATATTTCATTGTGGAGAAAGTGCACTTCTTCTGTCTCATTAACTAAGGTATTCAAATAGAATTACAGCTTTCTGTTTTGGTGTAAAGACAAAATAGTTAAACCCAAAATGTTCAAGAAACTAAGATGAGATATTTCGATGACAGAACAACTTAATCTAAGTCCTTCACTTGTTCTGTCACTAAACCAACAACATAACCATAATCATATTCCAACAAGGAGATTGCATTTTTTCATAGATTAATCAGAAGATAACAAAATTTGAAATACAGTAAAAAACAACGGAACATGTGTATCTACCAACTTATAAAGCAATGATCATAATACTTGCACATTAAAAAAAATTACAAGTTCAGCTCAACTTATCACCTTCGAGTTCACAAGGAACCATACACTTATCAGCAACAGAGTCTTATGTGAGTATATATATTGACACAATTCGTTTACTCATCCTAGATTGATTAAATTGACGACTATATGAGTTATTTCAAGCTACAGTAGAACATAGCAGTAAACATTCATTGTTACACAAAATCAAAATGATCTCCATGCCAAAGTAGCCAGTAGAATGAGAATACTGGCTTCTAAATAGGGATTTACTTCTTGTGTTATTGTCAAAGCTACAAATTAGTGTAGTATCAATACTAGAAAATGAGTTTCTTTTCACTAAATTTCTATTAGTGTATATATTATTGAGTAAATTAATATCAGTACCAAAGGAAAGAAGGTTGACATTTTATCGAACAGGTTATGGACAACAAATCCATAAAGCTGAACACGTACGAAAGACAAGAAAAATCGCGTAGCTATGTGTATTATTACCTTGGCTTGGAGGACGACGACCTTATATCAACAATATTTACAGTAGCAGGAAGAAGGACAAAAAGAGCAAAGTAATTTAACAGGGGAAATTTTAACCTTACCCTGAAGCTTCATGTCCTAGAATTCGACTATACACTCTTTGAGCTTCATTCTTTTTTGATTCCCAGGATTGATGATAGAAACGTACATGTCAGATCAGATGGCGGCCAATACCCAAGAGTCAATTCAATTCAATTCAATTTACCATTTAAGCAATCACAAATCTATCTGTGAATCAATTCAGCGAAGCAAAGTTGTCGTTATAGGATGGTTTGTCTCATACCGTGCCCAGCCAAGCTCCAAGATCGGTGTGGCAAATTGAAGTGCAGAGGATCTGGATACGGACCTCCATTTTCTTTGGGGGATCCGCTAAAACATCTTGTATCACCAGAGGTTGCCCCAGACTGTAGACCACCACAGCTTCAAAACAAACAAAAAAAACCATGAGAGACCGTACATACCTTCAATAGGAAAGCAAGGGTAGTTTGATTGCAGAGAGATTCAGTAGAAAAAACTTTGTGGAGAAAGGAAGATTTTGGCCGAGAGTTTTGAGAGATAGCTTGCAGAGAGAGAGAGTTTGTGAGAGAGATGAGAGGAACCAAATTTCATTGGCCGGCAAAATGAAAGTTTTGAGATTTCACTAAGTGTTTTGGCACAAGAATCTTTCACCAAAACCAAAATCTTCCGCCAAAACGACATGGTTTTATGTTTTAATGTTTTTGGTGTATCTTACATTTTATTGAGTGTCATGATAAAGGATCTAAAGACACATTATTATTTTTATATCAGATAAAATAAAAAAGTATATATTATTGAGTTGATAATAAGTGTGATGATAGAAGTGCTATAATGACAGAAACCAGCAAATGTCTCTATAGTTGTGTCAGGAAAGGCAATTTTTGTTGTAGTGTAAGTATGAAAATTATCAAAATTGGACTTCAATGACGGTAATAAAAATTAATTTCAAAAATATCATACTTGATTTAATTGATAAAGTTGATTCCTATAAACTAAACATGCGATCGAAGTCAAACTCAATGTCATTATAAAGCAAAGATCTCCGGACCAAACTTCTTGCTTTACACGACTTGTTATTAATCTTCATCACGTGTGATACTAAATGAACTTTATATTTTGCAAATAATTTCTGTGTTACCTTACTAAAAATACTTAGATGTATTTATGTATTTATATTTACAATCACAATTTCTGAACTTCTGTAGTTGATGCTCTTTCATTTTTCTTTTCTTTCTTTCTTTTTTTTTGGTTAAAATTCAGAGTTAATCTTATAGAGACTGACAGTATATACACTATCACAGTTGGATGCATGACATATATGAAAATTTTGAGTTTCAAATTCAAATTTAGATTGTATGTTATGCATCTAACAATGAAAGTGTATAGAATATTAATTCTAAAATCTAAATCTTAGTTTCCAACAAAAAACAATCTGTTTAAGAATTAAATTAAAACAAAAACTCATATGTCAAGCTTTAGTAAATTCAAGACCTTGGTCTTCCTTGAGGTGCGCCCTCACCAAATCACGTACACCAATTGATGGAGTTGATACTATTATGGCTGAATATCACCTGTATGCACACCGTGGATATTTGAAGATATTTGGAGGAAATTTCTTGATGGCTAATTTTCACATATCGTGTTTTGTTGGTAATGTAAAATGTTTGTGAATTTTATTACACGTTAATTGATCTTTTTTTTTTCCAAACATATTCATATAACACGACACCTTTTTTTTTTATTTTTTTCTCCCTTTTTTCCAACCATGTGAGAAAGACCATGAGTTTTCTTACCATTTTCATGGACTTTCTTTTTTGGGAACAAAATTTGGATCCCTATCCCATAGGTACTTTCGAATACTAATTGCTAATTTAAGAGAAACAAAAATCTTAACCATATCAACAGACGACTAGGCGTGTCAACAGGCCGGGTCCAGGCCGGAATTAATAAATCCGAACCTGGACCCGTTATACTGCATTAGTTCCGGATCCGACCCAAATATCCGACGAGTCTGCTAATATTTCTACCGGACTCGCACCCAAATGGTTTCGGATCCGGGTCAGGCCTACCCGAAAAAAGGCCCGTCAAAAACCAGTTCTCATAACAACAAACATTGAAATCTCACGGTATTAATTGCAAGTTAAATACTCAGTTAAAGATATCAATTCTTAAGTAACAGCCTATCAAGGAAAAGGTGATGCTACTATTTAAAGCCATGGCATCTAGTAATTCTCTAAGCACCAAAAACAGAAAAAGTGCCCAAAGAAGTAGAGGCACCTAAAGTAGCACAAACACTAAAAAAATAAACAGGCATCAAAAGAAGTAGAGACACCCAAAGCCGAAGAAACACCTAAAATAGCACAAGCACCAGAAACAAAACATGCGCCCAGGAGAGCACCTCAAGCAGCATAGGTGCCAAAAACAGAAAGAGTGCCCAAAGAAACAGAGACACCTACAGCATCAGAAGCACCCAAAGAAGGAAAAGCACTTAAAGCAGCACTAGCACCAAAAACGGAAAAAAGGTCTAAAAAAGCCGAGGCAAAGAGAAGTATAAACTAGTGATAGATTTCTACAACAAGCGAAGAACTAGTGACGCGAGAAACTTTTGTCTTTTTGTTTTGAAATCAGATCCTCAAAGTGCCTCAGCAAAAGATTACTCTATGCTTCTGAAAATTGCAACAAATGCAGCATTAGACAATGGCAAGAAAATCATTGATACGTTGAGCAAAAGTTTGAAACTCACTGGCGGAGCAGCAGAAAAGATGAGAGAATGAGAATGGAAGAGCTGGGCTTCTTTGGAGCTGGCTAGACCCGACGGTTTCTTTGGAGCTGGAGATGGAGAGAATCAGAGAGCGTCGCCGGTTTCACAGCGGACTGATCACTAGCGGAGGCGAGATGTGAGGCGGGACTGGTCACTGGTCACGGCAGAGCAAAAGAGAAGAGAGTGATGGGAAAAAGGAATGTGCGGCGGTAGGTTAGGGATGGACAAATTTGGGAATGAAAGTCGTAATGTAGTATTGATATGAATAATGATAGATAGGTATATATTTGTTTAATTATTAATTAATTAAAATCGGTTCGGGTAGGATACGGGTCAGAATGGTATATTCTGTATCCGACTCGTAAATTTATTAGATAAAATGGGTCCAAATTCGGGTCCGGGTCGCGAATCTATATACCTGCTCGTACCCGAAAAATGTTGGCGGGTTCGGTCCGGGTCTGGGTTCGTTGACAGCCCTACAGACAACCATCAAATTGATGTTAATCCTGGGACTAAAGTGGCAAAAAATGCATTCTTGATCCTTATGTTTAGTTTTGTTTTATAGCTAAAAAAAGACTATTTTGTCAAAATAGAAGCTTTTTTTTTTTTTTTGGGTTTTAATCCTTAAGTGAAGGGAAGTAGGAAAAGAGTTAGGAATTTCAATGTCGCCTTGGTAGCATATTTGCCGAGTGAGCTGGGTCTTGGGTAGGGATGCAAACAAGCAGAACCAAATCGAGTTTCGACCTAATCGAACCGAATCTCAATATAATTTTATGAAACTCGAACTCGAATTCAAGTTTGACGAGATCAAAATGTCAAGCTCGAGCTCAAACTAAAAAAAAAATAATTATTTTATTTTTAAAAAATAAATAAAATAATAATTGGATATATCCTGGATATATTCACATCTGATGATGATTCTGGAATAGCCCAAGAGGATTCATCAAAACTATTCCCAAGCTCCAGAAGATATCAACATATATTCCTGACAAGACCAGACAGAGACAAAGTTCACAACAAAGACTTCTTCAAAGGCCTTCTTGGATCACAATACAAGAAGAATAAGTCTTGAGAAGAAACAACTTGTGAACAGAACCAATAAGCTGACTGGTTTCCCAAACCGACAGAAGATCAGTCGAAAAGAAGAAATCTTGGATCCTTTTACAAATAGTTTGGACCATTGAGCTACCATACAAGGCCCAATAAACAGCCCAAACATATGAGTCTCAAAAACATTTTTTCTTCTACAAAACAACCAGCCTTATCTATTCTCAAAACCCATGAACCAAGATAGATAACCCAATATGACAAATCCAACCAGATCAAAGCCCAACTGTCAAATCCTCTGATCGATTCAGATATTATCAAATCTGGACGAAAAGAAGATTATACTTCAACATCTTCTTCTCCAACTATCAGTGATGAAGATGAAAAAGAAGGACATATAATTAAAAATCAAAACCTTCTTCTTAACATCATTGAAAAATCGAGACAACCCTACCTACACCAAATTTCGAATCCTTTAAAAAACCTTCTTTTCGATATTCCAAATAGCTCCAAAAACTTTAAAGAATTCTTTACTTAAATAGTTTGTGTTGGAATTCTTTATTTTAAAGAATTCATAACTTTATATTGAATTCTATAAATAATAGCTACAGGAAAAGTCCATGTTTTGACTCTATAGTTAGCAGTTTTTATGTTTAATGTTAAAACATCTAGAATATTTTTGTCTTTTAAAGAGATTGTAAAATTTGGAAAACAATCAAAATAAACTGGTCCTCCACAAAGGCTAGTTTTTGCCATTCTGAGGAGGGAATCGGTGAATTCTAAGAATCTGCTATCTCTGAGACAAAGGAGTAGGGATGTATCTAGTCCTTCTCTTGTCAGAGATTTAGCTGCGATTTGTACTAATCCAAAATGAATATAATTATATTTTTCTTTATGTTTTTCTATTTTTTTTTGGATAATAGTTTTATTTCCTCATGATCATCATTTAAGGTTATAGTTTATTCTACTGTTTTAATTGTATAATCTGAAGTGGAAAACATCCACTTTCTTTCCCTTTCATATATATCAGTTTGAATATATTTAGAAAATTTTCAATTGTCTATGTCTTGATTAATGTCTTGTATATTGATTTCTTCTTTTAGTTTGGTGTTTGAAAAAGAGCTAGAAGAGGTAGAGTTGGTTCTAAAAAAGAAAGCCATGAATAAAGAGAAGCAATAAATCAATTTAAATCAATAACTTTAAATACATAGAGTTTGAATACATTATTCTCCAAGAAATGTGATTGATAGTAGATTTATCAAACGGGATTTCTCTTGTTGTTTTTTTTTCTAGGCATCTTATCTTCCCTGCAAGAATTCACGAGTTAAATAATCAGGAATAGAATTTGAAGACCATTTAATGTATTCACTATCAAAGTCAAAGATTGATAAAATTGCTTGCCATCTTGCAAAGATTTGTTTGGAGGCAAGGTTTTTAACATCTTTTTGTAAAACATCTTTAGCTGACTTACAATCAACCTGAAGTAAAAACTTCTGGTTTAGTAGTTCAGTTTGGAATTTTGTAATACATAAAACTATTGTTAAGATTTCCTTTTTAATAATGAAATAGTTTTGTTGAGAATTGTTCCAATGTTTGGAAGCAAAAGCAATTATTTGTTCTTTATTATTTTTTGTTTGTTTAAGAGTATCATCATATCCTAAATCAGAAACATCCGTTTCCATAACTTTTTGAGTTGTTGGATCTGGAAGAGCAAGACAAAGAATGGCTTTGACTTCGATTTTGATTTTTCTAACTGTTTCTGTATGAATATCTGTCCACAAAGATGGAGTAGTTTTTAATCTGTCATATAATAGTTTGGCTAGATTACCGAGATTTGGTATAAAATTTGAGACATAGTTTAGACACCCTAAGAATCTCTGGAGTTGTTGTTTGTCAAGAATTTGGTCAGAAAATTTATCAGGTGGATTGATCTATTTATAGGGGTAATGGTTCCTTGATGGGTATGATGTCCAAGAAATCTAATTCTAGTTTGGAAAAGGTTGATCTTCTTTTGAGCGAAACAATTTCTGTTTGAAAATTTTTAACAGTTATAGGTTTGGTACAAGGTTGGGTTTTAGTTAAGACATTTATTGAGGAATATCCTATGTCTTTTCTAATATCAAGGCTAGTAGTATTATTAGATTTATTTGTTGGTTGACTTGATACTAGAATGTTAGGTCATTGGTTTGGTAAATCTATTGATTTTAATAGATCCATAAGAGAATCTGGTAGATCTATATTTGCAGGGTTTATATGGATTGATTTTAATGGATCTATGGATTCTGAAATTTTATGAGAGGATTCTAATATAAGAATTGTTTGAGATAGATTTATGGAGAGATCTAAAGGTTCTGACTTGGTTTGGACTAGATCTGTAAAATCCTGAGTTTCACTAGTTTTTGACATAGAGGACGCAGGATTTGAAGTAGTTTGGACTGGATTTTCGAATTCTGATGGGAACACTTGAAATGTTTGAGACTCATACCAGTCAAAGAAATGATTATTTTGTCTTGTTTTTCTTAAAAAATTATAAAAGTTTTCTTATATATTTTTTCGGGTTTCTCCCTGACATTTGTCAAAAAATTGTTTCCTTTTAAAATAGTTGTGATTTGCATAGAAGTCTGATCTAAGTTTTTCTTTGTTAATCTGGAATTCAGAAGATTTGTTTTCTAGTTTTCTTTGAATAAGAATTGATTGCTCTATCCGGGCAATTCTAGTTTGAAGGTCATTTAAAGGTTTGTTGTTTAAAGAAGAAGTAGAAAAAATAAAGTATGTTTTAACAGGTGAGCCCATTAGCAGAAACAAGTAATTAAACACGTAAAAGATTTAAACAACTTATAATTCTCTTCCCTTTGACACAGAATCCTTCGAGATCCATGGAGGATAACCATTTTTCTAAACAGATTATAAAGGATAGTGTGAAAACTTCAAGAAAAAATCTAACCTTTTGAAGAAAATTAACTATACATGACGACCATATTTTCATCATAATAAAGATAGTAATAAAGCTACAAGAATAGATCTAAATCCTTTGAAAAAGATTAACTATGCATGACTACCATATTTCCAAACAAAATCATAAAATTGTTAGTAAAAATCCATTAACCCTAGATCTGATCTTTTTAGCACTTCACCGTCCTAGAGCATACCACCCCAAGAACCTTAACATCCCTACAGTGCCAAATCCCATGGCCTTACCTGGACCGGATGCTAGCAATTACAGACTCCATGCCCCTTAAACAGATCCAAAGTCATATAATTAATACTAGCAAAACTATAATAAGTTTGAATACATTAGATGGTAATCATAAAATTAACCAGTCTCATCAAATAGATCTAAATTTGTAGATCTACACTAGCAACATTATAAATAAAGAAAGATGGTAATCACGAAATTAAGCAATCTTATTAGGAAGATATGAATTTGTAGATCTACACTAACAACATCATAATAAGTAAAGAAAGATAGCCATCTCCCCACTTCCCCCTTTGGCTCTGATACCAGACGGGACGAGAGATTAGCCCCTTAAACCAGGAAGTAAATAAAATAAAGAAAGTAAAGAGCATAAGAGTTAGGAAGTGGGTCGCAATCGGACTGCCACTCATTAGTATAGGCGGTTGAATCAGCCATATATAAACAGAATGTAAATAAAATGTAAAAACAAGTTAATAAGTTACATCAGGCGGTATAACCGGCAATGTATGGTTAGTATAATAAAAAATAAATAAAACAAGTAAATGAATATGAATATGATGTGGCTCAACCGACCATTTGATTGAATGAGATTGAATAACAGAATATAAGAAAACTTACAGGATATGAAACTCGCACAAGGCTTGCTCCTTTGTTTGATTCTAAAACTAAAAACTAAAAACTAAAAACTAAAACCTAAAACTACAAACATTGATCCACTAGTTTGATATATACACAAGGGTTTTCTACATAAGAAAACCCTACACAAGGGTTTGTTGAAGTAGATTCTGCCTGAATCTCTTATTTGATGACTAATTTTTTCAGAGAAGATCTTGTCTGAGTTTTCCGCCGGATTCGTCTGATAGCTTGTCTTTTTGTATTTTCAGCGGAGGGATGATCAATCTTATTCTTCCAAGAATATAAAGATTGGAAGTACTTCTTCTTGAATGTCTGGTTTTTTTGACTCCATTTGATGGGTCTGATAGATCTTGGAATATCAATTTGAAAT